AAATACTGTATGGGAAACATTAATTAGGGAATGTATGTAAGAGAGAGAGTGCTTGGATGATGAGTGAATGGTTCTGAGAGGTGCCAGCCTGAGAATACAGCAACAAAGGGCTGAAGAAGGCGTCAAGTGCCAGTGCAACCAAAAGGTGTCAAGTAGAGAAAACCAAGTACTGGAGGTCCACCCGATGACATCACTGACGAGCACCTGGCAGCCACCCTGAAGACATCAGCATGATGCAGCAATTTCCATAGACTGGTATAGGAAGAAATTCCTATAAGACCTGGACTAAAAGACTATGGAATTAGAGTCCAAGGTTCTGCTGCCAGCCCACTAGGAGCTTCAGATGCGCATCTGATCAGGACTTCGCTCCCCACTCCCATCACTTGTGTACAGAGTACCTGGCCAGTACTCTGTCACAAGCAACTTCCAGGCTGGTAACTATAACAAATACACAGAACCTGAATGAATGGATGAATGAATGTTTATATGTATAAGGGTTAAGTAGTTAAACAATGTTGTTTGCTTCTATCTTTTCTTTATTTTTTTTATTATTATATTTACAATAAATGTGGCTTTTTGCCTTATCCCCCTCATAAGATCCTGCTTGCTTTTATTTGGTACAACAAGTCTTTAAGATGCTGCTAGACTATTTGGTTTTTTTTTTAGTTTTTCCAGTTACAGACTACCTCAGCTACCCCTCTGAAGCTTTTAGACACAGAAACCAGTGTAGAAGGGACAGGGAGGACTGAGGTTCAAGGCTTCTCATAGGCCAGATTTACTTTTCTGGGGTTCTAGAGTTAGTGGATTTTTATGAACCCCCTTTGTCTCTGGGGTGGGAACAAAAATGAGGGGTTCAATGTGTGGGATGGGGCTGCCAGTGAGTGTGAAAGGAATTCAGGATCTGGGCAGGGAGTGGGGTGCAAGATGGAGTGAGGAGGGTAGGGTCTGGAAGGGAGTTTGGTGGCAGGAGAGAGTGTGGGATGGGGATATGAGAGGCAGTTTGGAGACGGAAGGAGGATGGGGAGTAACGCAGAAAAGGTAAGAGGGTGAGAATGCAGTCAGATAGCTAGTTGGGGAGGGAGGCAAAGAAGTGGGGAGTAAAGGAAAGTGCAGCTTCTGCAAAGTAAAATTGTTTCCCCACCCCGCCCACATCTCCCCTCTGCCCCATGATTCCCCCCCAGCCTGATCCCCTGCATTGCTCAATGCCCCTTGGTGCGAGTGCTGAGACTTGCAGCCACCCAGGAGCAGTGTTGGAGCAAGTAGAGGCACGGGGGTGGGAGTGGGGCGCAGAGTCTCTTTCCTGCCTGGCTCAGCCCTTTACCTGCAGCTCCAGGGCTGGGGACAGGCAGAGCCTGGGACTTCCCAGGGCTGGCTCCAGCCTGGCTAGGTGCAGCAGGGTGCTGAAGGAGAGACTCCCTGCCCCCACCCCCATACACAGCCCGTGGGGAGCAGCGTGCTGCAGCCCAGGCCCTGGCATGCCATATGTGTCAGCTACCCAGCCCTAGATCTGTGGAGCAGGCCCAGCACTGCCGCCTCCTGAAGTAGATGATGAATGC